AGGGAGATGCAGATTCAACTTCACTAGTGCATGGCTCTTAGAAGACTCCTTGCAAAACTTCTTGAAGACCATCCTCCCCTAGGGAACCAGCCTCAACCTTGACTCTGATACTGCCTTGTGATGGGTGAGGCATTGGGAGACCGGAAGAGTGACGGCCAGGTTCCCTGACCCTTCCTCTGGTCCCCATTGCTGTCAGGTGGGACCTCTAAGTGCAGAGCACAGGACGGGCTCTGCCCCCCACCTCTGTTCCAGCTCTGTTCCCCGGATCCCCAGTCTCTAGAGCTGAACAGCAGTTTGGACACCCTGGGTTTCTTCTCTGGTTTTTGCAGAGGTGGTCAGGGTGTGGTTGTTGCTGGCCACCCATCCGGTTCATGGTTTTAATTGAAGCTGGAGTAGATTTGCATTATTTTCATGTTGAAATTCTCCCATCTATGAGCACATCCCTCACTATCAGTCTTAAGCTTTAAGTATTTCGTATTTGCTGAATGATCTTCAGTGACTTCTGTCACTTCCTCTCTTAGAAGGTTGTCACATCATTCTTCAGTAGCAGCGTGGCCTGTTCTCTCTCTCTCTGTGCCTTGGAATGTGTCCTCTACTCTGACATGTCCTTACTCAGGCCCTGGTCAGCGTTAGGATTTCTTCAGGATTGAACTCAAACACTGCTCTGGCTGAGACTCCTCCGGCTTGCCCTCCCTTCATCTGCATTGGCCATCTCTCGGTCCCCACGCTGCGTTTCTCGGCACGGCGCATGCCACCGGTGTTTCCCTCCCCACTGCCATATTACAAGCTTCACCGGGACCAGACTCTTGTGTCTGTGTGTTGCTAGCATGTAACTAACAGGGCATCCTGAAAACACAAAACAAGTGAATGAATCCATGGTGCTAGTTATACGTTGTCAAATCTTTGAAACCATTTCCTGTTAGAGGAAAGGAATCCCTTTATCACCCCTTGAAACCTTACACGGGAATGCCTTCTCCTTTCCACTAATTTTCCCACTCCACTGAACAGACCTCCCAAAGTTGTAGGAATCCCGAGATTTTGAGGCAGTAAAACAACATTATGAGATCAACTCCTCCAGACCAGATTTTTTTTCTTTTTTTGTCTTCCTTGACATTTACATCCCATATCTGATCAGAAATTTGTAACTCAAATGAACTGTTCATGATAATGAGACATTCTTAATACAGTGCTGATTGAACACCTCTCTCCCAGAAGGTCACAGCGCTGTACACACATTATCTAAGTAGTCTTCAGAACACACCTGAAGGAGGGCAACCACCCGTTCAGAATTTGCCATGCTCTGACAGTCTAGCCGCGTGAAGTTGGCTTTGTCTCTCTCTGGGCCCGGGGAAGACTGGAACCAAGTTCGATTCTGCAGTGGTAATAGCTGCGTTCTCACTACCAGTGTTACATTCCAGATCCTTCCAGCTAGTCTCAGGTCAGAAATGGAGCTCATTCTCTCAGCAGCTGCAGGAAAGCAAGAGTCAAGTCTCCGAGTAATAACTAGTCATAAAGCTACATAGGTGAATTGGGGGAGGTCAGACCTGACGGTGTTAACAGTGGCACCGGTGAGCGGGGCCTGTAGTCCTTCATCGTAGGCTCTATGTCCACGCCCCACATTGGGCATTTTGTGGAGAAGCGGTGTGATCTGGGGAGACCCAGCCCTGGATTAAGAAGACAGAGCTTAGATTTTTTTTGATTGCAGAAATTGTGTGTGCATCCTTAGTGAAGTCGCTTATTCCCTTCAGACCGGTAACTGGAGAGCATTGCCCTGAATGCTCCCTGGGCTCTTTACCGCCTTAAAGTAGAAGGATTTCTGTTCGTGCAGAACGAACGCTCCCGGAGCTCTTGTACCTCAGGTGCCAGGCTCCCCACCCGAGCACTCCGGCTGCGCCCTGTTCTCGGGTTGACCACCGTTTATTCTTCTTTCTGTGTATTCATACCAACCACCGTGATGGATCATAAGCTTGCTGCGGGCAGGAGTCTGTTCATTTGTGTTTGTGTCTGGATGTGCTGTCACACATGTACCCCTCTCTCCATGCCGTAACCTGTGACTCTCCTCTGAATCTTCACATTTTCATCTGTGCGTCTTTGCTGGCTGGGGAAGACGGACTCCACCGCCCTGCCTCGGCCCCTGACTCCACTGAGCTTTTTCTCTTCCCACCCACCCTGGAGCCTCAGCTTCTTGACAAAGCCGCATACATTTCTCCTGCTGTTTTCCTCCCTCTGACTCCCCCACTCCCTACAGGGTGGCGATCTGGCCCCACCGCCCCACAGAAACTGCTTTGGAGAAATTTCCAGAAGAATATCTTCTTGTCGAATGCAGAAGGAGCCTGGGGCATTTTCATCCTCACGGCTATCCCAGCTGGAAGTGCTTGCTCTGGTCCCAGCCTTGTTCTTCAAGCTCTCCCATGAGGCCCCTGCCTCTGACCGCCCTCTGCCCTGTCCCTTCTAGATTCCTCTTTCTTATGATTCTCTGTGGTGCTTTCCTCGACTCTTGGCTCCTTTCACTTTTACATCCCCTCCTGGACAGTTTCATGCATGCCTGTGGCTCCTGCTGCCAGGGGTGCCCCCCCCGCCAGAGCTGTCGCTACAGCCTGGGACACACACCCCCAACTTCTCTCCAGCCCCAGTCACGCTGAGCGGGGCGTGTCCAGACCTGCACTCATCAGTCTCCCCCACATCACTTTCTCATGTCTCCTCTCCTTGGGCCCTGATCCCACAGTGGTTCTCTCTCGCCCTCATCCCCGCAGCCAGCCGGTTGCCTGTGAGGTTTAGGCCTGCGGCAGCTTCACACGAACGTGTGCAGTAGCCTCTTAGCTGTCTTCTCCCACATCTCTTCTTCTGTAATCCATCTACCGCACTGTACCCAAAAAGGACTTTTCTAGAATTCAGATTTGACCTTGTGGCCCTTGCTACTTGAATCTTCTGTGCCTGATTTGACTGTTAGTTTCGGTTCCTCCGCGTGCAGGACCCTCTGAGACCCGGGCACCCGCTGCGCCTGCACCCCTGTGCCCACTCCCCCCCCCTCCCCCGGCGTCCTCCACCTCCCACATGCTGGCCTCCCTGCTGGGAGGAAGTGGCCTGTCTCTCACCAGTGCACCTTTCTGCATAGGAGACTCTGTTTCAGAGGCCGTTTCCCCCGCGCCTGCTGGCAAGTCCAGCTTGGCCTTTAGGACTCGAACCACTTACCCCTTTGCTTGGAAGCCTTCACCTTCCTGCCCGGGCAGAACGAACTGCCCGCTCCCCCGGGTCCCTGCCCCACCCGGTCCTTGCGTCTCCCCAGGCACTTAGCGTGCTCGAGGGGCCGTGTGCACGTCAGCACCCCACACACAGTGAGCCCCCGGAGGGTCGGACCTCCTTCCCTTGGCCGTGTTCCCCAGCTCTTGGCCGAGAGCCTGGTACAGTGTGGGTGCTTCACGCGCCTTTGCGGAAGGGGTGGCTGAAGGCAGGCCGGGAGGGGAGCCGCCCGGGGACCCGCCGGCCTTCCCCAAGCGCTACCTGTAGGGGAAAGCCCGCGCCCCCCAGCCCACGCCCAGGCTTTGCCCCTCTTACTTCTGCCGCCTTTTTTAGGGGTATGTTCCAGTCTTTTCCGAAAAGACTGGTCTACTGTCTGAGCCCCGAACATCCCGCTGTCTTCCGGGTCTCTCCTCCACAAGTTGAACGTGTTAATGGAGTGGGAACCCGAGTGGACCCCACGCATCAGGGCTTCGCTCAGTGAGTAAAAGCATCTTGCTTTTTAGAATAAACGGAGCCGCGCTGACTTATTTAGCCTCTTGTCCGCTGATAATGCTCCCTCTTTCCTCCTCCTCTTGCGCAGACCCTGGCAGGCTTCAGCTGCACGTGGGCCCGCCTGCCTGATGATAATTGCCCGTCATTTAAGGGCCAGAGCCAAGTACCATTCCCCTCTCCTTTAAATTAGATAAAACCCAGAGCTGTGGCTCACAGGGGACGCAAGTCCACCGGGCGAATTAAGGGTTCAGAGAGAATGGGACCCATTATAATAAAAGCGTCTGCACGGACAGTGATTGCATCGACACTGTGGCTCCGAGGTTCCTTGGGGTATGCTGAAATAGGAAGCCAGAGGGCCTCTCAGAGTGGTCAGAGGAATTTATTTTAATTGGAAATGGTGGTAGCGTTCTTGTGCTTGGAGTAAACTCTGCAGACCGCACACGGGCATGAGACGGGCATGGTGTAAAGAGCCACACAGGAGCCAGCGCGGCAGCTCAGGACCTAGGCTCCACTCTGTCTCAGGTTCCTTCCACTCCCGCATCCCTACAGAGGGGACGGGATGGTGAGGTCCACGCCGCCCGCCCTTCCTCCCCAAGCTCCTTCCTCCTCCTTCCTTTCCTGGGTCTGCATTCTTATTTCGTACTCTGTATTTAATAAAAATTATATAATGGTGCCTAAATCAATCTAGATGCTAAGCCTTCACATTATTTGTAACTATGAGATCTAAGGGAAATCCATACAAAATGGCCAGAAGGAAAACAAAGTTTGCTGCGGTTCAATTTGTAAGAGTTACAAAGTAACAGTAGCTCATTTTTCTCAGCAGGTCCTGTGCCCTGTTAACAAAGCCCTTTACCTGCATTTGCTTGTTTCATACTCATGGTTTACAGATGAGGAAACTGAGGCTCAGAGAAGTTGAGACACTTGCCCAAGATCACATGGCTATGATGAATGGCAGAGCGAGGATTGCCTATAAGATACAGGCAAAAACTTTACTGAGTGGCAGAACCAGGTTTAAACCCCACAGTCTGACTGCAGAGCCCGACCTTTTAAATACTGTGTCACGATGCCCTGTGACTCAGAGGATTGCGTTCCTGAATGTAACCACAGGCTTGCCTTCTACCAGGGTTACTATTAATGGGAAGAGACCCTGTTATTGTTTCTGTGTCCGTATGACATTATCAGCACTCATGTTTAACAGTGTGGGTTGTCTGAGGCTTGTTCATACAGTTGTTCAATCTGCCTTTACTTTCTCACTTTTGTATTTTTAGATGCATCATCCCATTCAGATGAAACCTGCCGATAGTGAAAAGTCAAACGGTAGGTGGTGGTCAACTGTCTCATTTAATACTGTTTCTTTCAATTAAGAAGTCAGGCGGGGAGGGAGGAGCCAGCCCCACTTGCTGTTGCTCTGGGGGGGGGGGGGGGGNGGGGGGGGGGGGGGGGGGGGGGGGGGGGGGGGGGGGGGGGGGGGGGGGGGGGGGGGGGGGGGGGGGGGGGGGGGGGGGGGGGGGGGGGGGGCACTCCGGGGAACTTGCCCTGGGGTTGGCTTAGCTGGAGAAACGCAGGATTCGCTTTCCTGCCTCGGTTCGCCTCTGGTGTAAAGATCTGTGAAGATGGTACGAGAAATGGTTTTCGGTGTCCCTCCATTTGAAGCTTGCTCTTTCTGTGTGGTGACTCTGTGGCCTTTGCCTCTTGTCGATCTCCTTGCACAGAGCAGCCCAGGACACCTGATGGGGAGGAGGAACCTCACAGTGTGCAGAGCAGATGAGCGGGAAAGGGCTTGCCCACGAAGAATCCTGCTGTCTTTCCCCTCTCTGGTGTGCTCCTCAGTGGAACTCTTTTCTCGAAGTTGTACTGATGCATTTGCATCCGAATTCATTCAGAATTCAGTCAACTGATTAAATAAACGGATGCTCGCTACTAAAATATGCATGTGATGAGGTCCGGGAAGTAATTGAGATTTAGCTCTCCGACACACGGGAGGGCCGATAGCCACATTTCTCTCTCGTAAGTTTCTGCTTCCGTTTAAACCTGCCTTCTGTCCCTGTTTTGTTCTCTGACTTCACTGAAATGTATGTCAAAGGAATCCCTTACCTTCTCAGACCTGGGTGCGTCTCTGCCCCACAAGACTGACATAATCAGCACTGTTTGCTTCCACGAGCAGGTCTGCACCTCATTAACTAGTAATCAGGGCAGAAGCCATGCACTTGGAGAGCTGCATATCTGCAAATGTAAATGATGATTGGGATCTAAAGCTCTCCACAAGGTTTTTGTTTTGTTTTGGGTTTTTTGCTAATTGTGGTGCATCCCATTTTCTGGCTTCTTTGCAGACTAGGTAGGAAGTTTTGAAGAAAAGGCCAAGTCTTACTACGGTGCCAGCAGCACCCAGTTAGGGTTAAGGGAGTAGACTTCTGCATGCGGCCCACTGGCTTCTCATCTGCCTCACCCCTGCCCGAGGGTTTCTTCCCACCCCCCACCCCTACTACCTTAACCACAAACACTGCATCCAGCCTCAGAGGGTCTGAGGTCTCGCGGGACTTTGGGCAGGCCTCTTCGATCCTTTGCTCAGCAGTTGCTCATTGATGACCTCTGGGCACCAGACATGTTGCTAGGGAATCTAGCAGGGAATCTGAAGAAGACGACTATAGAGACACTGCCCTGACCCCGGAACTTACCACCCTTCAATCTGCTGATCCAGTGATCACTTAAAGACAAACGTTAATCTCCGTGTTCGTGGACTGGGGATAAATGTAGCTACCTCACATAGGTTGGCTTTTTTGTTTTAGATTCATATAAGATATTCATAACAGTGCTTTGCAAAGGATAGAGTGCCACTTCTGTAAAATGCAAATTATCATTATGACCCAGATTTTTCCCTGGCTTCAGAGGGCTCTGCACTGAGTGTCTACAGGCAGAAGGCCAGGCACCCATGCCGATTCCTGAACCTTTTTGCTCCAAAAGTACCCATTTATAGTGTGGTCTCTTCCCCATGGAGAGAGAAGTCCTATAGTTGGGGGATGAACCCTGCCTGTTAAGGTCATCTTGGAGCTCCTGGCCACCAAGAAGCATTCTCTTGCCTTTGGACTCCTAATTTTCTCAACTGTGTCAGAACAAGGGCCACGGAGGAAGGTTTGTCTTATTTCTGAACCTTAGGTTGTGGTTGTAAGAACATGATGACTTAGAGAATTGAACTGGAAGTGTGCGACCTGGAATACCCAAGTAGTTGGACCACGAAAGGGTTTCCTTCTTCAGCATTTGCTGCTGTGTGGGCACAGACCTGACTCAGAGAACCCATTCTATGGGTTAGCCGCCTGGAGGGCTCAGAATGGTTGGTGGCTCTTGTTCCCAGTGGCAGCTCCGGACAGAGGGTGACGTTTGCTCTGGGTCTAGAACCACAGTAACAGTGTAGATGTGCCAACGGCGAACCCAACTTGGCACTATCTCAGACGCCAAGCAGGGTTAGACAGTGTTTCACTAAGATGAGAGCAATCTTAAAAATGCCATTGTTCAGGAAGCAACCCAGGGTGGCAGTTACAAGCTCTTTTGGGGAGCCTGGACTTGACCCCTGACCCTGCACACGTTAGCTGTGTCCTTGGGCACGTCCCGTGACCTCATCCATCCCCCGTATCTCCAGCTGTCAGAGGCAGCTACGGTAGTCTGCAGTCTGAACAATTCCTGTACTGCCCACCTCACAGGGTTGTTCAGGGAACACATACGTTAACATCTACAAGGAATTTGGCATAATACCTGCCAAGGTGTTCCCTCTGCTACAGCACCAGCACGTTTGTGGCTCGCCAAGGCAGCTGCTTTAGTGCATTCTGAGCAGCAGAGGCCGGCACTTCCGGCCTTGGGTTTTCATAGCAAAGCACAGATCTGTCCACACGAGGGAACAATCACTCCCGCCTTCCTTCTCGTTGGGCCAGCTCTTCCTTTGCTTTGTAGATTGACCTTCATTTTCTGAGTTGTCAGGAAAAAGAAAGTCAAAAAGTGTAAGTGGACTGAACCAGCTCCTTTTAAATCATTTTACTCTCTGGAGGTGCAAAGTCTGTGCATCACCTTGCATAGACTGAACCAGCTTCAGGGTTCTCCTTGGACCTGATTGAGGAGTCAGGAAAAATGTATCATTTTCGAAAGCAAGCGATAAAAGCTGCAAGCCCTTTCTGATTGCACATGGCAGTTTTGACAGGTAAGCATAGTTTCCAGAGCTCCTAGAGCACAAAGATTTCTTTGGCTCAGATGCTCTCAGTAGTTGTGAAAGAAGAATAACGAGGTCTAATTGCACCTTTATTGAGTTTGCTGACATTTATGGATCGCACAAAGGACTCATCACAGTTAGACAGTTACCGTCTTCATTATCAGTATGTTCGGCTTTCGGAAACTTTGTATTTGCTCAGCAAGAAAGGGCTGATAATCACAGATTAATTAGTGATGGACAAATGAATTCCGGAAAGCAATCACTCTTTAAAGCCTTTGTCCATCTAGAGATTCTGACAAAGGGAACTGCCACGGTGAGCCCAGAAACGTCAGGCTGCTCTTAGATCTGCCCTGCCCTTCGGTATTTTGCGGAACAAAAGGGCTTTCCAAATCTCTGGGCTTCCTAGAGCCTGCCCTCTTAATTGGCTCTGATTTAAGCTGCAGCCTCTAGCACATTTCTGCAAACTCACAGCATTTTACCCCTGCCCTGGTGTTTCTAACTGTGCCAGGTGTCAAAGAAAAAATATCCATTCTAGATCAGCAATAAAATATTGGGGTCCTTAAGAAGAGCGAACGCATTGAATAAATACCCAGATTTCCACAGAATCCACGTTGTCTTGTTTTTCCACTGCATCCAGTTGAGTCATGGCAGGGGAAGAGGCTTGAGGAGGTGTGGATTTCAGGTCACAGCCGACCCTGGCACAAGCGTAGTTAGTGTCTCTCATTCTGTCTACCTTCAGAGGGCTGCTTTTCCAGCGCTCTTGGCTGTGCAGGAAAAGGAACCAACTGTGCACAATTGAAAAGTAAATGCAGTTGCTGGAGCTGAAGTCTGTCTAGCAGTAACTGATAATGAGCATAGGGGTTGCTTTTGGTTCTGTGCTGGGGGTCTCAGTGACCACCCGGTGTTCACTCTTTGGTCATGCTCCTGGTTTAGAGGGTTTGGTTTGGTTTGGTTTCTTCTCTGTGGCAGAGCATAAATTTATCCTGCTTTAACCCTCCAACCTCCCAACTTGCTAGGGGTCCTCACAGCCTCATATCCAGAAATGCCATGTAAGCCGCCATTCTCTTTTCTCAAGGCCTCCGAACCCCCCTGGTGTCCCTGTGTCAAGTTCAGAGCTCACAGGGTCAAGACAACTGAATTCTGTCTGGGAGATGCGGGCCTGCAAGCCTCCAGTGAAGGGGGGAGTCGCAGGCTGTGCCCATCCGGTCACTTTCTGACTCATTGGAGGAGGAAGAAATAATTTTGTAATTCAAAGCAGAGAGACTCATGGATTTGGAGGCAGTAATTAAATGCCATATGTTAGCACTAACACATTGAAAAGTTGTTAATTAATTCAGGCCGCCCTGAATCCAGGTGTGACTTTGACAGATTGTACACCGGGGTGTTAGCACAGACTTACAATTAGGGATTTTTTTTTTTTAAGTGAAAGTTTCTATTCCCCAAACTTAAAAAAAGTCCCCACTTAAAATCTTAAAATATTAACCCTGTCTCCTACCACGGGAGAACTTGCACTGGTCGCCGAGAGGGAACACCTTTTCGGCTCCGTGGTTGTTAGTGATGGCACTTAAGCCACCTGCACAGAGCTCTCTGTAAAAAGTATCCGCCGTCACTCGTTCGTGGGTTACCCTGAAGTTTGAAAGTAGACTTTCCCCCTGAAGGGCAGAGACCTTTATTTTTTTTTTTTTAATTTCCATAAGGCAGTTAACCAAATACTGTAAACAGAGTAGGTTTATTTCAGCAGTCTACATTTCCAGGGATAGAAGACAGACACCGACTGCCTATGAGTACCGAGGAAGAGCCCCTGAATCAAGAAATTCATCAGAAATTGATGAAAAAAAGTGAAATGGCAAGATAATTAAGTTTATGTAAAATGTTGACGCTGTTGAGGGAGCCTCCGAGTGGGAATCCCAGGAATGAGTTTTACAAGTAAACTTTCACTGAGAAAGCTTGAAGGAAGTGGAAGCCAGAACCGGGTAGCTCGCCCCACTCACCACGAAAGCACACGGCGCCCGCTGCTTAAACCGCAGAGCGACTTCCGCCGGCGGACGCTGCGAGCATCCGGGGGTCCGGGACGCGGCGCATGCGCAGGAGGAAAACCGCGTTTCGTAAAGCGCGTGGGTGGTGTAGGCTTCAGTTTGGTCTCGGCTATTGCTCGTTACGCGAGGAAGAGTTCGCCTCCCTCTCCCTGCCTGGGTTCGGCCTGTCGTGATGCAAGGGAAGCCGGGGCTTACTTACTAGTCGTTTCCAGTTCTTCATCTTGAGTTAAAAAACCTTTGTTCGCCTTCTCGGGAGCCACACGTTTAGTTTGCTCCGGCGGCACCCCGAAGCTCACCCCCGGCTGCGTGCTCCAGCTCCGTGCCGCCATGATAGGTTCAGCAGTGAGGCTCCCCGGGAGCCTATCATTTGCTTTTGTTGGAAAGAAAGCCGTATTCTTCAGGATAAGAAGAAATTCAAGGGCTTTTGTGTTTTTGTTTTTAACTCTCCAGAAGCTATCGGCCGTAGCTTCCTCGGGTAGGAGTCCCAGAGATGAGAGGCAAGGGGGGAAGTTAGAGCTGTGACCGGAAGTTTCCTGCTGCCGGCTCTGCCCAGCTTCATTCTGTTCCTGCCCGTCAGAGGGATGGCTTGGCCCTTTGGGGCCACCACATACTCCTGGTCACCCTGGTGTTGGTGAGCACAGATGCTTACCTCCCTTCCGCCGCTACCCAGTACCTCACTGAGCTCACCTGCTCTGATGGGAGAGACAAGAGCTTCTGCGAGGTGAAACCGTTCTTCCGCAGGAGGGAAGTCAGTGACGCCATTGCCCACGTCCACTTTGGTGAGGCTCAACACGAGGCAGCCGCCTTGGACGGTGTATTCCTTCACTCAAACCTTGAGCCGCTGTCTGCAGAAGCCGCGGAATTGCTGCGCATTGTGCCAGGCTGCTTTCCTCCATCCGCCGCACAGTGTGCTGCCCCCCTCCTCCCACCAGGCTCGCTCTCTGCTCCTCTACTTCCACCTTAAGTGCCACCTTCTCCATCCCTCAAGCCTTTCTTGAGCTTGGTGCACAGTCAGCAGCTCATAGCCCTGTGGCAGTGCGGTCTCCACCGGTGACCCTCGGAGCCCTGGTTTCCCTGTAGGGTCTCAGGAATTGCTCAGCTGCAGAGGGTGGTTGGCGGGTAGAATACTGGGCTCCGTCGTTTCCCTGCCCAAGCAGGCAGCTGGGCCACCTTCTGTCACTGAAGAGAGAAGAGTTTAAACCTCATTTTGTAGATGATGAGACCAAGGTCCACAGAAGTCCACTAGTGCACTCCCCAAGGTCATTCATCAACGTGATGGTAGTGCTGGGACCAGGCAAGTCACCTGACACTGCTCCCCTCACACTACCAACCCCCCCCCCACCCCCACCCCCCGCCTCTCCCTCCTCTGCTCTCGCAGGAAAGCTGTGGGTAGTTCAGCAGCTGTGGCCCCAGGCAGTTCCTCCCTGCCCCACTTCACAACCAACAAGAATAATGTCTTTCATGGCTTCCTTTCTAGTCTGGGGTTCTGTGGGAAGAGCACTTAGCTGCCTCCCCTGGGCCTCTCAGAGCTGCTCCGTCCAGTATAGTGTCACATGTGGCTTTTTAAATTAGATAAGTTTAAATGAAGTCACAATAACAATTCAGTTCCTCAGTCACACTAGCCATGTTTCAAGTGCTTACGTGGCTGTAGCGACCACAGCGGACATACCAGACGGAGCGATTCCCTTCCTGGTGGGTGCTCCTAGATGGCGCTACCCCAGAGCAAACCTCCCTGTATCTTGCTATTCCAGCGTCACCAGCAGCATTCTCAGCTCCCCTGGGGGGCCCCGGGCCAGTTTGCCTCAAGCACCGAAAGCACCTGGCCTTGGACATTCTGTAATACAGTATGGTTGGTTAAGTGGGACTGCAAGACTGATTGTCCAGGGAAAGAATAAGACAAACAGATAAAAGCCAGTTAAATGGCAATGATGAGGTTATGGTACAGCTACAAGAGGAAGGTTCCTACATAGTGATGGATGGCAGGGCCCCTCCCTGAGCCAGGACTGTCTCTCTCACATGCCCGTGCAGCTGGCTGTCCTGTCTTTAAAATCTAAGAGATCGGTTTTAATGCAGCCTGGGAAATAAGACTCCCCGTGGGCATCTAGGGTCGGGTTTGGGTGTTTTGTTTTGTTTTGTTTTTCATTGTAAAACGGGGAAGGGGGTGGATTTTTTTTTTCCTCTTTCCTAAAGAGGACTGCACTCACTCACCTGAAGTCAGTTATAATTGTGCCTTTGAGGCTAAATGTAGGCCAGTTATCCTGAGCACAAGCTTGTAGATTTTGAGGAAAATCTCCTAGGTCAACAGAGGTAAACCTCCCCTAGTCTGTACCTCCTGGCAGATTCCAAGATGGAATTGGTTTCTTGTTGTGATAATCAAAATACATTTCTGTTCATCAAGAGTCCTACCTCCGGGTGTGCAGAATAGTATTGTTCCCTTCTCATTCTTTTTGGTGACGGGTTTCTGATGGGGTCATCCTGATGTGATTCTCAAGTAGCCCAGCCCCATTCTTTCCCTCAAATTGCCTCCCTCTTCACTTGCAAATGCAGATCCTGTGTTGTCCTGGTTAGAGCTGCAGACCCGGTGCAATGGACGGATTGACAGACAGACACGGAAAGTCTTTACTGGCTCACCAGAGAGATGAGCATCTCTCTTATCTCTTATTGTCTGGATCCATAGGGCAAAGCCATTTGAAATTGGGGGGGAAGGTTTTCCCCACTGAATGCTTTATTAAAAGTTCTGTTTCTTATTCTAGTCCCTCTGTTCCTCCTGTTTTTCTTTCCCTGACCTTTTTCTTTCTTTGCCATTCTTCAAGGTAAAAGAACATCTAGAAAAAAAATTGTTTTTAATCTGTATTCAAAAATATCTCTGTGGAATGGTAGTGTTTTAGCAAGTCCACAGAGCTTGAACAAATTAGGAAAGACCAAGTTTCCAAACAGGGTTGGGAGGAGAGGACCTCACAGTGTTTCGTGTTCTCTGAAAATGTGGTATTGGTGAGAACAGGCACCAGAGAGAGGCAGGGTTCAGGAAGGGCAAGGTGGGAAAGCAGAGGCAGAACCGGGGTGGGGAGGGGGGGCGGGGAAGAGGAGCGCAGCCTGCAAGTCAGGAGACCTAGCCTTCGGCCCACGCTTGGTCTCACATGACTGGGGCCTGGTTTGATGTGGTAATGAAGCCGTGATTACAAGAAACGGGATAAAATGGCCTTTGCTCATTCATTATTTTTATTTCCTAGCTGTGGAAGACCGAAAATTGTTCATAGGAATGGTTTCGAAGAAATGTAATGAGAATGATATCAGGGTGATGTTTTCTCCATTTGGCCAGATAGAAGAATGCCGGATTCTCCGGGGACCCGACGGGCTGAGTCGAGGTGAGTGTGCTGTCTGCAAAGTCTCTTCCCTCAAGTGCTAATTGGAACTCTGTGTCACCGTCAAGGTAGATGTAGCCACCGCACGCAGCAAGAGGTCACCCTGTAATGTGTCCTGCGTGATCAAGTTGTCCAACCTGAACTTTTCACTGTAGCTGGAGTGATCACCTTGTATTTCTCAGGTCGACAAGGTCTTGATGCCAACATATTAACTCAGGCTATCCCAGCCAGCCCGGAAGCCGACAGGCAGCCCTGTCATTATACATCCCTTTCCATCTCACATTGAAGTAGATATCAGGGGGTGAGGGAGCGATGGGGAGGAGGAGAGAGAATATTTGTTGGTTTCATCTGAGTCTCCAGCTTTCTGCCCATGCCCGAGAGAAATGGCAAGGGGATAGGCCTCTTGACAGTGATAGAAACCAAGGAGAAACATCAGTGTTCCCATGTAACGCAGAGCAGGTAGGGACTCAGAACAACTGGGCCTCTCCTGGGGTCTCAGGGTTTGATTTCAAAGAACAGAACTCCTGGAGGCCTGAGCACAGGATGTCATTGAGTGGCAGAGATGACGTACAGAAGATTGCAGGCTCTTCTCGGCCACCATGACGGAGCCAGCCACCGTGGCTTCCAGCACTGAGGAAAACCAGCGTGTTTGCCGGCAGCCACCCCTGGCACCGGCAGTGTGAGCTCACTCTTCTCCTTGCACGTTTGCCTCCCATGGATGGCGCCACCCAGACCCTCCCCTCTAGCGCCTGTGAGCAGGGCCGCTGAGCATTGACCCTCATCTGACAGTTTCCCAAGACAGCCCCACACGCCCGAGTCACTGTATCTGTAAAACATCTTCTCCATCTCTTCTAAGAAATCCGTGTGTTTGCGGTACAAAAAGCATTTCATTCTCTTAATGTGCTTATTGATGCAGTTTCCATGGGGCTAATTAGAAACTTCTTTTCATTCCTAGTCTCAGGGTCTGGGACAGCACTGCCATCTCGAACCACATGCTGAAAGAGGAGGTTGCCCCTTGAGTCCCAAAGCACTAATTTCCACCCACCTCCCTCATTTTAGCTAAATTCAGCACCATGTGAGGAAGAACACTTGTTCTTTTGACTTAGAGATACGCTCCGTGTCTGCTGAGAGGATGGCAGGAGCAGAACAGCGTTTTCCGCCCACATCCCCCTCCAGAGCCCCACCCGGAGGTAGTCTAGGGGAGCAGCAGGAGGCCAAGAGCTTGCAGTCCCTGTATTTTCTTCCGAGGGTGGCTTGGGAAGGAAGCCCGAGCATTCCCTGACGGCTCCGAAGGTTGTCACTCCGCCTCCTGGAAAACGCGTGTAGCCCTGAAAGCTGACCGAGATCATTGCAGACACTGTGCCTGGGGCCAAGCTGTAGCGTACTGCCCACGCTGTCGCCAGCGTGACCCACAGCCACGCCCTTCGCAGGGGGACATGGGGATCTGGGTCCTGGGGCCCTCCATGCCGGCCCAGCACATTAACTCTTTGAGAGCTTCCAGTCACGTCGGGTCATCTGATTGTGCCTCAGTCCTGACAGATACGCGCCCACTCGGGTGGGCCAGCGGGGGACCAGCAGTGGGTCGGGAGGAAACACGTGATCATGTTTCTGCGGTCCCTTTTCCACTGCCAGTGTAGCCATCAGAACCACGTCCCCTCCTATTCTTTCTTTCTGTCACGTGCTGTGTTAGCAACTTTTCAGTCACCGCAGCATACGGCGCAGAGAAGGAACAGAACAGAAGGCCCTTGAGTTCATCATAGTGAAATGTATAGTGGCTCAGAGGTCAGTGACCCCGAGGTCCAGTCCCAGGACTTCGGACGTAAACTGTAAGCAAAGTCAGTTCGTTCTCCTCTCTGTGCCCCTCAGGTTCCCCCTTTGCAGATGGCAGCAGTGCCAGCAGCTGCCCTGCTCACCTCCTGGGGCATCACTAGTTCCCCGATGTGGTAGGCGTCCCTGTGAGCGGCCGATCCGCATGGCTTAGTACACTGCTCTCCCTCTGCCCGTCCACCGCAGACAGTAAAGAATAGCGTTAGTGCCTGCGGCATCTAGAGCTGCTTGAGCGCACGTGAGTTATTTCTGCAGATAGGACTGTAAAGCAGCCCCAGCTTTTGCAGGAAAGAGCAGGACACAGCACTTGACAAGAGAGCTTGACTAATTTGATTTGCCATGTGGTTGAGGGGCCAGCTCTGGACATGAAGAGCAGACGGTGGCTAAAACCAGTGATGGGAGCGCTCTCATCCACATTTTATGCAGATGCCAGCTAGGTGTAAAGACTAAAATACTCCTCCCTGCCCCCACCCTTTTTTTTCTTCTTAACAGAAAAGTAATTTCTGGTGAACTGATGAGAATTCCCTATGGCAAAAAAGAAAATACTCATTTATAACCATTTGTCCTGAAATATAAAGCCAGGCAGTGATAGGTTTTTCAATTAGTGAAACCCAGGGACTCCTGGGTCCAAGGGACTGCTCCTGAGTCCGTATATTTGTTAAAAGAACAGTTCTCTTTCGTCGTACTATTTTGCTTCCATTAAAGAATTGCAGTTTTCAGTCAAATATTAATAAATGTCTCCCATTAGTGGCTCCTCAGATAAAGGGCACTCAACACTTCTGGCCTCGATGCCTGTTGCTGCCTCAGCCATTGAAGACATCAATCAATCAATCAATCAATCAGTAAGTGAAAGGAAAAGCTTGGCTGCCCTGAAAAGCACCTTCTAATTCTAAACCAAGTATTGAACTAGTCAATGAAAAAGTTTTTTAATTGAACGATCCGATCATGAGGGAGAGGCACAGAAAAGTGGTTCACCTCTCTGGCTTTGCATTTGCCCAGTTCAGCTACAGGAACTCGGACAGGTGAGGCAGTGAGTGGCGCTGGTTCCCCTGGAGGTGTCCTCTGTCGTCTCTTCTCTGCTCCTTCAGTAGTTTCTGTCCCTCCCCACAGGGCACGAAGCTGAAACCCCGCAGGTTTCTCCGCCCCACCGATTCTGAGTAGCGGGCAGCCAGGACCCACAGCCCTGTCACCCTTTAGAATCACTGTCTTTAAAACAAAAGTCATCGTCTCCATGTTGGCAAGAAAGACTATTTATAAAGCCCCATCCGTACTCACCAGCATCCAGGTTTGTGCCATGTTCCGGATCAGAACCCCGCCCCAGGGGATTATCATGACTGTCCACAGACAGCACCTAGCCTCTGCCAGGCACATTGAAACCAGCGCTCAGCAACTATCAGGAATCTGACTCTCACAGTATGCCCGCATCTAAATGTGCATCTTCCTCTTTATGGGACAATAACCCATTCTGCCTCTCTTCTAATTTGGAAAACCTGGCTTGAAATGCTTTCATGCCCCTGCACAACACTCAGATCCTTCTGCAATGGCAGGCCTACCTGCCGGGTAAACATTCTTTGAGAAAGCACACCGGACACCACAGAGTCCCTGCGTGGGAACTCAAATGGGATGTTTGTTCTCAAAAGCCAAGCTTGAGGCATCTAAGCCAGTGCATTGATTTATTAGTGTCCCCTTAGCATGTTGATTTCCTAAAATACACATGTTCTCACTTACCCATCATCCCACAGTCAGCGTGGACTATTTGTGTATAGTCTGCAGGGTTTTCTGCACCATGGCAACAGTTATCTGTAACTCCAAGACAATGAAAGAGTTTGTTTCATTTTTCTTTCCCATACAGTGTAGTCAAATCTTCACTGCCATTTAAGGTAACTTTCTGCTTGTTTAAGAATATTCCAGCTGTGTTTACGGTGTTCCAACATTCTCCTGCCAAAACCCTTGACAAATGAATTGGCAATATTTTCAGGGATGTTGGCGAGCACAGACTGGTTTTAGCCATTAAATCCTCATTTGTTTCTGTTCTATCTGATCAGAATATTAGGATTGGGCTTTTGACTTTTAAAACATGTACACAGAGCGGACTCCATTTTGATGACGACGTTTTAGGCTTGCCCACAAAGTAGTATCTAAACATGTGGAAACTCGTATCAAATGCCCCTGGGTTATGAACTGCATTTTGTCATCTCATTCTGAGCACAATCTTCAAATCTCATCTCAGGGGTGAAACTTTGCAAACTCTTAAGTCCTACTCTGCCTTCAGCCTCAGGTGCCATAAGCAAGCAATCTCTCCATGCCAATTTTAAATAAACTAACCCACCATCAGGGACGGCGCATTGGAGGGTTAGTTTTGATGCTCTCATGTTGTACTGATAGCGTATGTTTTCATAAACTGTGACACTGCTAAACAGACCCAGCGAGGAATACTGGCTGCATTGAGAACTTTCTTTGGCTGAATGGGAATTTATAAACAAGGTTTTCCATAGGCCGAAAGCTCCTTCGTGTTGTGCAAGTTATTTTAAATTATGCTTCCCTCAGTTGAAACCTAGCAGGCTGCTGCTCAGAAAAGCTGGAGGCCGTGGCATTGTACGTACTTTTAAAAGTGCCTGTCCGCTTTCTCGCTTTCTCACTGTAGACCAAGAATTGATCAGGTTCTCTCAAACTTCTCTTGCAGCTGAGAGAAGAGGTAGAACACCTAAGTGAAGATAGCTCTTCAGTTGAGATGACAAGTGGAATAGATGTGTTCCAGAATTCTCTCTGTGACAGGACCACATGCTTTCCTTAGATTCTGTCTGTAGGAGGAAATTACTTGGAGAAACCTTTCCTCAGTCGATCATTTATCTGTTTTAGCAGCAAGAAGGCACAACCTCACCGAACAGGGAGAAGTTCAGCTCCTTTCATTTCCGTTGGCAATCTGTGACGTTCTGAAAGTAGAGACCATAAATAATTGTAAAGTAAATTACAGGGTGACCATATTTAAGGAGGGAATTTTTCTTTTCCTTTTTTTCTCTCTACTATTATGTTTTTGGAGAGGCTTTAAGACCATAATATGCAGGCTATCTTACCTAACAAAAAGCTTCATCATCTTGGTACCTGTATCATTTGCTCTGTTTTAGTGTTTCCTGCATTTTGGTCAGTAGCCTGAGAACTGACTAATGAGACAGTATATCCAGTAATCCAGAACAGAGGAGGGCTGACCCGACAGGAGTCTAGAACTGTAGAGGAGAACTCACCCTACAGTAATCTGTAGGTGGGCTGACCCTGCAGCCGTCTAGAGCTATAAAGGGCTCTCCCTATATAGATCTAGAACAGAAGAAAGCTGACCCTACTGCAATCTAGAACAGAGGAGGGCTCTCCCTAGAGCAGTCTAGACAGTCTTCCTACAGTGATCTAGAACCGAGGAGGGCTGAGCGAATAACAAGGTCTGGGTCTGGAACAGAGGAGGGCTGAGCCTATAACAGTCTAGACCCGAGGAGGCCAGACCCTGCAAGGTCAAAGCAGCTAATCCTGTCAAGACCCAATAGGCTTCATTGTACCCAGAAACTTGTTCTTCATAAAAAAGGGGTCAGTTGACCTATTATTGCCCAACTGAAAGACAGTCATTGGTTTGTAGAAGAAGCTGGCAGCCAGTCTTGATGGAAGGAGCTTATATGACCCTATGTTATCGAAAAGCCACAGATCTGAGGCCAAATCCTAGAGCCACCACCCTGTTTTCAGTGGTGTAGAAAAGAAAAATTAAAATTGAGCCATAGGACTAATATGGCTTCCTGTCTTACAGAAGTCACAACGGTTCACAAGCTACCAAAACATGAAATACTCGGTCCTGAAGTTATGGAACTTCATCCAGGATGGCGCAGGGAAGGGAATTTTCAACATGTGCTCTCACTTTATAAATGACAGTAATGGTCTCTCCTAAGTAATTGAACACAGCACACAGTACCAAACTTGACAGAGCCCCTGAGGAGACAGGTTCTCTCTTACTGCACCACTGCCAATGGAGTAAAAAGGTTAAAGGAGTCATCAGATTTGTCAGATCATTTTTCTGGATGCAGTAAGGGTTGTATAATTAGAAGCATCAGTCGAGCTTTTAATTGCAGGTTTCAGAAAGGAAAGAGCAATGGTTCGAGTTTATAGAGCTGGAATTTTATTGTTCTGTTGCCAGTCCTTCTGAGACCTGCTAATTGCTACATCTTTCTAAGTTCCTTAAAAAGTTCTACTTGTTCTGAAATTGTGGTAAATGCATAAACTGTGCCTTATTGATTTTTGTTGACATTTTACGTGTGTGGTTTTTTTTTTTAATGCATTCTTAACCTCCATTTGGAAACTGTCAGTTTGGCACATGTTACTGGATAATAAGAGCAAATGAAGTGAATGACACAGTCTCCATGACTGGTAAAGGCAGAATTAGCCCAGGCTTCACACGATGTCCAAGATCTCTCCATGAGATTAATTGCATTTGCTTCCATTGTAGTCTCAAGAAATGGAAAAAAAAAAAAAAAATCTTAGTGTTACTTCTTTCTGTTAATGATGTCACTGATGTTCACAATGTTTTTGAAAAAGGGTATTACTTTCAGACTGGTAAATTTGGGGCTAATTGTAGAGCTAAGTTGAACTACAGAAGCCAGAGGTGGTGTCCTGTGTCCCACACTCTTACACACATCTTCTAGATGCCTTAGAGAAGGTTCCCATATCGCTTTTACTGATGACAGAAGCCACAGCCAGTGGAGGTACAGACAGTGTGCCTCAGTAGTGAGCTTCTAGCTGCTATAATGTCAGAGAAGTACATGAAACAGCTCGGCATTCATAGCTAGCTAAACCTCAGGCTTCGTTCGGAAGGCCAGCTGAACGGGGAGTTGAATCGAGAGATGAATCTCCCATTTACTGAGAGTTTTGTTGTATTAAAAATTACAGCATGATGCAAAAAAAAAAATGCATTGACTTATTTTCATGACTGAATGTTTTTGTGCTTTGGGGAAAATGGGCAGGTGTTGCTTTCTCTTATTGCTGTTTGATTAAAAGGTGCTAATACAGTATTGACTTGATAATCTCACCAGGTACACATGCAGAGCAAAAGAAGAAGATATATCTGATGGCTCAGAAATTGACTCGCATAAACCAGTCTGCTGGTTGTTTGGATGTAGAACACCCTATTTGGCTTACTGGCCACGGGGGCAAGAGTCTTACGTTGTTGATGCCAGAATTCCACTTCCGCGCATTCACTCTGAGATGACAACAGGCTACAGCCACTCAGTGTTTAGATCTGCTTCATTTGGAAATCTTTTAAGTAGTAATAATAATAATGTTTTGAAGAAATCGAGTGGAACACTAAATTATTCTTTGATACCTAAGTTCAAACTGTGCAGAGCTAAAGAAGCTGAAAATCAATGCACTTTTAAAGTCATTAGAGATCATAACTGAAATAAGTCTGCACTGCACTAGCTAAGCTTTTAGTGTGCTATGGTATTATTATAAAATCAGCCTGAATCTGCATTAATTTCACAGTCTTTTTCTCTGAGAAGCCCAAGGGTGCATGATGAATAAAATGTAAATTTCAGAAGGCAGTGTTGTTATTAGTGAAAAGAGCAGTGAGCCGTGTAGTTGGAGCGCTGACCTGCATGGTGGCCAGCGCCACTACAAGGAGCAGGCAGGATAGCTTCTGGGTATATTCCAGTGTGAGAAAGAGCGAGCCATGGCAAGTTGAATAGGTCTCCCAGGAAACATTCAGAGAACTGTACATTGCCTTGTGTACGTAGACGTTAGGCCAGATCTCTGATGCTTCTCCGAAATCACAACTTTGAAAAGTCGTAAAGATTTTATACAACTCAGAAACCCAATGCAGATAAAGGTTTACCTTATATGCACTGTTGAATACGCTCAGAGTAATAGAGCATCTGTTTTTGTTTGTAATCAATAATTACTAGTTTGTGCAGGATGTGGTATATTTCTTTGCATTTAAATAGCATCATTGTATATGTATACATATATATGTTTTAACTACCCAGAAGAGAGTAGATCTGTTTATTTGCTGACATTCGAGCTCTTGGAATTTATTTGCTAATTTGCCCTTGGTGTGAGGATTTTATTATTTGCTGCTTAAAAATCAACGCTAAAATTTGAACTCCAAAGCCCAAATGTGTGGATGCCCTAAGTAAAGATAATCAGCCAAGAAGGAAATGTAAAATAGCAACTTTTTATTTTAGAAAATGCAAACTAGATCTTGCTAATCTCAAATCCCCAGTGGCTAAAAAAAAAATTAAAAAGTACCTAGCTACATTCCCCTCGTCTCCATTTTTAAAAAATAAACTAGTCAATAAATAAATCTTTCTGCTTTGGTCAGATTAGCAAGTCAGCACTGTGAGTAAAAAGCAAACTAAGATAAAACCAAGAGAGAAGTTGTTGATTTTTATGTACTACTGAGAACAGTGTCGTCCTGTGGCAGTTCTCGTAGACTGTGTTGGTTTAACAAGCGTCCAACCCTTTTGTCTTGTTGTTTTTTGTCTTTCCTGCTCCCTGTCCCCTTGTTCCCCACAGGCTGTGCGTTTGTCACATTTTCTACAAGGGCAATGGCACAGAATGCAATCAAAGCCATGCATCAGTCTCAGACCATGGAGGTACTGTATCATCTGCCCTTTCTTTGTTTTCTTTGTGCAAATGATGGGGAATGGGAAAGCAGCTCTCTCCTGTGCGGATTGTTCACGTGACAATCACAGATTGACACTGGCACTATCTCTTCATTCGTTCATATTCATCCTCTCTCCCTCTCTCTCTCTCTCTCTCTCTCTCACTCTATCTCTCTCACTCTGAATTTTTCCCCTAATGACTTGAAATGCATTTAGTAAAACCTTCCACTTGCTCTACATTATTTTTTGAGCCTTTTATGGCAGTGGCCCAGGCCCTGCATTGTAACGTCAGGATGCAATTTAAACCGAGAATCGTTCTCGACCTCTGAAGGATCCAGTCTTTTCCTGGTCGAGGGTTGGTACGGAGTAAACCTTAACAGCCCTCGCTCCAAATTACAGCCTGCCCTGTGCCCGTCACAGGGTTCTTTTTTTTTTTTTCTCTCTCTCTCTCTCTCTTTTTGTTTTTTTTTTTTCTTTTTTTTTTTTTTTTAAATATGGGGTCAAGTTCTCTTCAGTCCAACAGAATTGTGCTTTTGAATCAAAAATGTTGGGAGAAAATTAATACTTCTCCTACATTGTTAACCAGTGAGATTATTAATGTTTGAGAATCCCTTGAAAAACGAGATTTGCCTTTTTACTAAAAAATGCTCAATAAAAGAAACCTAAAGGCTCAAATTTGGTCTCATAATGAGAGATAGTGGCTTTGGGGGAAGATAAATATGCTGATGTGGGTGTTCACCCACAAACATAGAGAAATGGCTCTGTACTTCTAGCCTGTGATTGGGGTCTGGCCTTTCAGAACTTTGCACAAAAGCATTCCAAGAGTGATATGCTGTTACTGACTCGGTACTGTCTGATAGAACCATTTGGGAATGCATGTTCTGCCGTACTCTGTACTGTGCCTCTGTGTATGGGTGATCTTTTCTGGAGGTGGCCCTGTGGCGTTCCCTGAAGTTACGTTTTCATCTTCCGAAAAGTAAAATATTTTCTATTTGATTTAATGTGCAAAAATTTCTTTATGGATTGTTTGCGCTTCTTTTTTACCTCCATTTTTTGGGGGGGTTTATTTTTTATTTGTTTGTTTTGTTCGTTTTTTGCAATGCTGCATCTCCCAAAGCATGCTGGGAGCTAAGTGATCATTCTGCGTCATGTTTTGTGGGCAACTTTTTTTATAGTGAGCCGAAAGGTGGGTGGACAAGGGGGGCAAGAGTGTGCATGGCCTTGTCATTAAGTGTTCACTGTACTTTTTCTGAGTTTTGATATCAGCATTGCAAAGCCTATTGTCTTTTTCAAGCTTCATTTTGACTTTGATATTCCTAACATATCTTATATAATCACTGTGTTTTCCTTTCAGTGCAATGCATTTTTAAGACACTCACACCCCCCTACCTGAAGGCAAGCTCAGGTGAAAATCGGACACAATAGGAGATAATTAGCAGAACTTTGAAATTCCTAGGGATGCAGTCTTGTACAACATGCTGTCACACGTTGATGCTGTTTGTCCCCCACTCTCTCTTCAGCTGTTCCGTTATTGGGGATCAGTCTGAATCCTAGCTACATTTTAGTTTGGAGAGAAAAATGAAAGTACCGTTGTGGGGGGAAGGTCTTCACCTGTATTTATTATCTTCCACGTATGTGCTTCATCCGTAATTATTTTCATTTCCTGTAACTTAGTGATTTGTACCTTAGATGATTTTTTAACCTACATTCTTTCAGCTCTAACCCAAGTGCCTTCATCTGGGCCCCTGTGTAAAGCCACAGAGGATGCTGGTCTGAGTTCTCCTGTGTTCCTACAGGGAGAAAGTTTGGGAACATAGCACAGACCTGAGTATGAACCTGAAGGAAGGAAGAGTAGGCTCAGAATGAAAAGAATCTGCGATAGAGAATGGGGCATATTCATTCTTAAGAAATCCTTGATCCTTTGGTTTTAACATCTCTGTTATAATTTAGAATCAAATTTGGTACATTTGTTTTTCAATCTGGACACCCATGCTCAGGGTTTTTTTTTTTTTAACTAATTATGTTATTTTCAGGACTCTGGCTCACATCTTTAACCAAGATGTATTATCTGAGAAATTTGAATTCAAAATAATCTGAATATTAAAGTTTAAACAAACATGTTCTTAAGAATAATTAATTTTTATATCATATCTTCTATTTTTCCTCTTTCCTGCAATCTTTGCCCAGCCTGTTTTTCCTTTTTATGGTTTAAACAAGTTCTTTTGGGCCTAATTTTATGCTTTTATATAATTTTTTTTGGTATTTAAGGAAGAAAAAAACACAACCGTAAATGTACTGTTAGGAGGAGATGCTGTCTGTCCTCTGTTACGGAACAAATTCGATACAACAGTAATAACCCTTTCCATACAAAACCCTCCCTCTGTCTAATCTCCATCTTCAGAGTATTTTGCTCTCTTTAAAGTGATGAAGTACTGAAATATGGAGCAGAAGAAGAAAAATGAAGTATAGATTTTTATTAATGGTGGAAAGATTATTTTTGTGCGGTTGACTGACATTTAACATTGTGTCCTGTGACTGTGGCTGCCAGAGCTGAAGACGGACACATTCGCTGGAAGTTCACCACCGAAACAGCCACCTCAGTTTTCCCACATTGTTTTGGTAACACCAGTCACCATAGCCTCCCACCTTCACAGCTACACCCCCAGTAACTACCCCAGGTGATAAGGGAAAAAAGCACACAGGTTTGTTTCCTAGGAGAGAGAAAAATGACCCGAAGGGAAGGGAAAGGGAGAGAACTCATTTAAATAGGAATATAGAATTTCTCAGAGGGGAGAGGTCTGTTATCATGCTGAGTTTCAGTAAAAGTTGGGTTTTTTTTTAATCACCTGGTAGCATTTCTTCTTTTTACCTCAGCAGAATGCAAAGGACTTGAATGGTGAGGAGCTGTGTAGGCAAGCCAGAGGCAGGGGGAGGGAAGGAGGAGCTCGTGTCTCTGCAGAGTGGTGGCCAAGTGGCCAAGGTCTCAGAGGTGCTCCGGGGAAGGAAGTCTTCCTGCTGGAGGCCCTTATTTTCCCAGATGATTTTATCCAACTCCAACACGACATGAGTCCGTCCTATTCTAGAACCCGGAGCCATTCCCTCTCTCGCTGCCCCTAGTCCTTTCCTTTTAGAGGCAGTGGAAACTGAAAAGCATCTGGAATAGTGACATCCAATGAGACGAAAAGCCAAGTGGGCGCCTTCTGCCGCTTCAGATCCAGCTCCATTTGCTAGAATATGCTTCTGAGGCTGGAGGTGTGCAGTAGCCCTGGGCACGGTGGAGAGAGGAGGCACATTAGAGAAGGGGCGGGGGGGGCTCTGTGCAAACACCACAGTTAGGCAGGCCGGGGCCTGCGTTCTCCGACTCCCTCTTTCCCTCATCCACATTCCTAAAACAGCCCACTTCTCCCTGTTGATAGTGCCTGGTCGGGCAGATTCCCGCGCTCCACAGTTCAAAAATGCATCACTGAAAACGGGAAAGAGTGAACAGAATAAATGAATGAGGGACGTTTTCATTCCCATTACAGCATCTCTCCTTCTTTGTCCCCTGCTCACGTGCGGAAACAGGCAGACACACAGACAAGTCTGTCTGTCAGACAAGCGAACCATGAAGCTTAATTAAAGAACCTTGATAAGGTCTCTTGTCTCTGAGGAGGTCCCAGAAAGGTTGGAGGAAGACACACGAAGAGAGGAGGAGAGGCAGTTTAATGATCAGAGCAAGAAAGCAAATGGCTGCACCGACCACCAGATCCACAGAGAAACCAGTTGACAGTATCTGGAATTTTCTCTTGATGGTACTGGGCAGAGAAGAAGAAGGAATATCAAACCATTTTAAAGCCATTCCAGATGGTTCCATGTGCTCCAAGATAGTCGAGAAAGCTAGCCCCAGTGCTGAGTGTCGTGAGAGGCTTCAGCCAGGCGGTAACCCCCTCTTCACTTTCCGCTGTGTCTGACCACAGGGCTGCTCCTCGCCCATCGTAGTCAAGTTTGCGGACACTCAGAAGGACAAAGAGCAAAGGCGCCTCCAGCAGCAGCTGGCGCAGCAGATGCAACAGCTCAACACTGCCACCTGGGGGAACCTGACGGGCCTAGGCGGACTCACCCCACAGTACCTGGCGGTAAGTGCTGGCGGGGGCCCATGCCTCGGTTCCCACCCCGCCTAGAGCAGGGGGCCGTCCCACCCCGGAGTTCACTAAAGGATTCATTTGAGGGCTCTTTGAATCCCAGGAAGGTATTGAAGTTGGCGTAGATGCCGATTACTTTTTCCAACTTAAATCGATTAGCTTAAGGATGTGACTCATTTAATTCCGGCCCGACCCAGGCCGTGCAGAGTCCCACGAGGCTGAATTTCTACGCAGTGTTGCGGAGACATCATACGGTCTTGCGTGAGAAGGGGGCGCAGGCGCTTGCTAATTGTGCGACACTGAGGCAGGTGTGACACTGAGGAGAGGTTGCTGTGTTCCGCATAGAGACCTGTTCACACTTCTACTCGGTCATATTGGCTCTTCCCTGTGGAACAGTGTTGACAAAATCAAATGTTACTTCCTATAGTTGAAACCAAAAAATTAGATCCTCCTTCAGGACAGGTAAACCCAGTTCCTTCAGCCACCATTACATTGGTATAAACTTCTCATTTTCTCGTTACTCCTTGTGCTCCCCATTTCTGTTGTCTGTCACTATCGGGAATAAAATACAGTGACCAGAATCTAAGACAATTCTCGTGGTGAGATGTAAAGAACACAGAGCAGTGACCCCTAGTGTGGACTTGAAACTGTCTTAACGCAGCCTCCGAGCAGCCCTTGCACTAACCATGTCGCACGTGAGGCAGAAGGCAGCTAACGCTGGTCTGGGTTTTCATTTGTTTTCACTCGAACCACTGCCAAACCACGGTACTCTACCCCCCTTTTCTGCCCTGGCACGGAAATGCTGGACTTCACCTTGATTAGCATAACTTCGTCTCGTGACTCTGAGCGGCGTATCTTGGCCTCTCGGTGCACGCGTCTGGGTGTGAGTGTGTACATGCATGCGTCCGTGTGTGTTCTGTCCTGACCCTGTCATTTGACATTGTAACTGCCCCCCTCGGGATTACGTGATGCATTAACCTTACTTTGCCGCAGCCTGCACGCTTGCATAACACCGTCCTCCCGGTGATCTTGGAAGGGAAGAGCCTGCCTGTACCCGGGTGGAAAGAGGCTCACAGAGGCTCCCCGGCTCTTACAAGACTGAGCTGCTGGCGGGCGAGTGGGACCCCAGCCCTCTGCGTGCTCTCTGTCCCTCTGGGCTGCAGCTCCGGCTCTTAGTCCTCTCTCTGCCCACCCTGCCCGGTGTCCGGCAATACACTGCTTAATGAACAAGGCCCATGCTTCTCCCGTCTACATTGGAGCTATTAACAAAAGCACCGACTGAGTTGAATGTCACCTTCTAGCCCTTCCTCTGTCATAGCCCCAAAGGCACCATGAGAGATCTCCTCAGATGTCTTGCTAAGAATCTATATGTGCTATGCCACATCGTTTTCTTGGTCTCCCCGTCTAACCTTGGTACAAAGCAAGAAATGAGTCTAGCTTAACGATGATTTGTTTTTCCCAAACTTGTGCTTTTCGATTGTTGACGGGACATCTGTTCAATTGCGTATACCAGAATTGGTATCAGATTGATGTCAGGCTCACCTTTTCATGATTTCTAAGAAATCCGCTTCCTACTCCATCATTTCTAAAAACCGAGACACCTGTGCCTGTCCCCAGTCTCCTGGCACATCTCCCGTGCCCCACGGCTTACGAATATCTCTGGCACGTATTTCTTTGACCGCATCTGCAGATTATTTCTGTACCCTAAAAGAGAATTCATCTGAACCTCACTTACGAAAACATTTTTATATGCTCCTAACTATGTTTGCTCCTGCCGCGGGCTTCTGTTCAGACTGTCTCTGCCATGTTTGTTCTGTCCCTTTCCATTGGAGGTCCACTTCTTTCGAAGTGCCCTTGGCCTCTGAGGCCATCCCGCCTTATGTGTTGAGGGGTAGACTCTGACTCTGGCCCACCTGAGAATGGTTATGAGTGGGCGGAACCTTGCCAGTAGTTTCATGACACTTCCAAGGACACCCACGTGCCTCAGTAGCTGTTACTAGTCCTTCAAAATAGCCTCAAAGCTAATTTAGTTTTGCTTCACTTTAATTTTTAAGCATACCTAATAGGAAAGGGAGTAAGGGCTTACAACCACAAGAGAATGGGAAACCCAGGAAATCAGACCAAAATAAAGGATTTCTCTCTATGAAAACGGTTCATCTCTAGCTTCTCCTTCCTCCTCACTTGTGTGTCTGGATCTGTGTGTAATGCCTGGATGGTACGTCCTAACAAGTCAGGAGGGATGAGTGGACACCACACTCTCCTGGCACCTAGCACTCTTAATCCCCATAATATCATTGTAATGGAGACCCGGGTTGAAACAGCCACTGAAATAAATGCCACTCCACTTGGTGCTTTTCAGCCCGCGGATAGATGCCCAGTTTTGAGTCCTATCCTGTGGTAGGCCTGGCTTTGTAATGAACTGAAAAAAGAGGAAGGACAGTGCTGTGTGGTTCTGCAGCACTTTAAATAATTCTGAAAGCTGTTTTTGAAATCATGAATTGGTCTGGTTCCTCCTAAGCATATAGTATCATGACATTTCTCAATAATAAATTTGATGAATCTATGCTCCGTTAGTATGCAGGTGCGTTTATGTGCGGGAGAGAACCATGTGCTTGCTCCTATGTCTGTGTTGATCTACTGGCTCAAAAAGAGTATCAGTAAATCTAGGTTAATAGTATAACACCTAAGTTAATCTATAATTCAGCCAAATCAGACCTCAAGTAAAGGAGCACTTGAGGACAGCAGCCACCTGCCTTTCCAGTGTGATACCCACTGATTCAGGGTGGGATGGCGGGGGGGGCGGTTTGAAAGCTCTAGGGGAAAACTCAGAGACCAGGATTTTAACTTGTGTTTTAAAAGATGATGACCTCTCTGCACAACACAGCATCATTGCTCATTACACCAGATACTTCTGAGTTTTGACAAATAGTGTGCTCCTCTCTGCCACTAAAGACCACCTTAAAATGGCAACCGTTGTCTTGGTCATGTGGCCACAGGCGTAGCCACACCTAAGTGCACTCATGTCTGTAGTTACCGTGATGATGTCTCTGTCGAGTCTGTGAGTCCATGTGCTTCTCACGAAGGACACTGAGCTGTGAAGGGAAGTGGGAGGGTGATGGATGGACCTTGATTGACAGAGATGAGCGGTGGTAACCGCTAGGCTACAGAGAGAACATTAGTCACGCCATGTTGGTTCCAATAGATTTAACACCTGGTTGTTAAAAAGACTAAATTGATTGTTTTAAGGCAGCAGTGTTACTGAGTTTCCCTGGTGTCTGTGTTTCTTAATAGAGATCAGACATTAATATGGATTTACAGCCCTGACTCTGGGAACCTTTTGTCCGTGAATAGGAAGCAGCAAGCGAACTGCACGGGCCCCCGTGTGGTTTGGGAGCTGCCCTGTCCTGTCTCCACTTTGGTCTGACAGCCCCTTGTCTCTTTGCAGCTTCTGCAGCAGGCCACCTCCTCCAGCAACCTGGGTGCATTCAGTGGCATTCAGCAGATGGCCGGTAAGTCCTGACACGTGCCTTTGCCGTCGACCGTGCTGTTGTCTGCATTGGGGTGGGTTCAGAGGGCAGAGAAGAAGAGTAGACAGCAGTTAGCAGTCCTGTTCAAGTTTGACTTGAGTGTAAAAATGAGAGAGTCTGCTGCTGGCTGCTGAGGAGTCACTCGGGAGCCTCTCTCCCACCTCGGGCTTCTCCAGCGGTGGGCAGGAGCCGGAGAGGCAGCGAAGCCCTGCACAGCATCCTCCAGAGTTGTTTTTTGGCTTTGGTTTTGGGTTTTAATGGGATCGATTGCTGGGGAATTTCCAACAAGGCTCCTCTGTCCGGGGGGCAGCCAACATGATTGACATCCTTCTCAAATTTTAATAAGAAGCAGTCAGTAAATATTCTGCCCTCCATAAGGAGAGCCAGGGTTGCAGGCCTGTCTTTGATACGGTTTGCAATCCCTTGATAACCGCAGACAATTAACAGGGTGCCTTTTTTGACTTTAGTACCCTGGTTGACGGAATTGTGCATCAGAAGCTTTTATGTGGAAGTATAATCTTTGTTCTCAAGGAAATCAAAGTGGGGCTGGATTTGAAAGCTGGCTCATAAAGGATTTCTTTTTATAATGAGCTGTGTCAGTAGTAACTGAGGTGCGGTGATTAGTGAAAGGTCACTCCTGCTGTGTCACCTTCCAGGCTGATATCCTAACTTCCACGGGGCCAGGGAAGGCAGCCCACGCGATAAATCAGAACACAGGTGCCATTAACCTGCCATGAGGAACAGCGAGAAGGCTCTTCCCTTGTTTGATTCCAGAAAGATAGGGGAGAGAGGGCAAGGGGAAGAACAGATTTTTGGCACACTCGAATCAAGCACCATTTGTTTTTAATGAAGGACACCCTGAGTCAATGAAATGAAATCTGAATGTGCACAATAAGAGCCAGATTTCTTTTTCTGTCACTATGAAAACTCTTTGTAATTTTTATTTTTATTTTTTTGCTCCCCAAGTAAATATCCTTGGTTTCATTTGTTTGTTTTGTTGCACTTTGAATGGATCTGGAAGGACTTTCTCTGCACGTGGGTTCTGTGACCATAGCTCAGCCTTCCCCTGCGTCTCCACTGGCTCTTGGAAGCCTGTTGTCTGACAGGATATATTGGCCTATAGTAAAACAAAACAAAACAAAACTGCAGAATTGCTCATCGGGCTTTAAATCTCCTGGCATTGCCAGCTTATTGTTTGTTTTTTATAATACTGCTTTTCATTTACTAGGAAAAAAAATATACATTAAAATAGTAGGTCAAATCACTCTGCATTATCTTTATGCATACAGTTTGGGAAGCTGTCCTTGGAGTTTGGAATCCCTTTGAATGGTTAATTTTTGGTTCTGTGAAGGGAATCAGAGAGTCATAAGTAAAACATTCAGGGAGTTTTCTGCATTTTAAAGAGAAACCCTCCAGATTGCGAGCTCTGTAAAAATTGCGAAGATTTGTCATATTTTCAGCCAGTGCAACATTTTTCCACCTAATAGTATGGACCCACCCAATCCAAAATTAGGGTCTTTCCTTAGAGGATGCCTCCGGCTCTCCCACTGCTGCGCTTGGATTATGCAGAGACGGTCACTGGGTCCTGAGGCTACTGCCAGGCTCGCCTCCTGGGTGGACACAGCACCCTGTCATTTGTCATTAGACTCTGGGCTCCTCTGCCTTGACCACTGCAGGTCAGGGTGTTAGCGTTTACGTGCTCTGCACACTCGTTTTAAAACTGAGGGTATCCAGGAGTAACCTTAGAAGGCGCATGGAGCAGGTGGCTAATTTAAAGCAGTCGATAAATGCTCTGGGCCTTCCAGAATACCCCTTTCTTGAACCTTCCACGTAGAAAATTCAGCACGTTCAGTCTGCATAGGCTGTGAAATCAAATGCTGAGCGGCCCGTCATCTGTCACCTTGAATGTTTAGAGTATCAAGGATGTTAATGTCAAGGCTCCATCTGCTTGGTGAATTCCAGAAAGGGGGTTTCTTCATTTGTAGGGATAATCAGGTCTTATTTTCCTGACTATTTGAAGCAGTGTGGATTGGAGTATTTTTTACATATATACCAAGTTATACGGCCTCCTCCTCTTCTGTGTTCTGAAATAGGGCTTCAGTTTTGTCTTTGCCGGTGACCTGGACCAGTATTCTGAAGGGGGCTGGTAGACTGGCAGTAGAAGTACCTCTCTGAAGGAGGCTTCCAGTCTCCCCACGTGGGGTCAGGTGCCCTAATGCCCTGGCTTCCTCACTCTCCTCCCTCACCTCCAAGGCATCAGGCCCCAAGAAGGCATGGCCTACGCTGAGGAAATCTGCCAACATGGGAGAGAGGTGCTACTGACTATTTTTGAGTGGATGTGTGAATGAATTTATAAATTGACAAATGCAGATCTGTAGTTTGGATGCGTTCCCAGGGGAGCTTAACTTAAATGCCCTGGGTTTTTTTCAAGTGAAGAAATTTGACTTTAGCCTTACAGCTAAGCCAAGAAAACATTATATCAGTTAATGGCAGTACCTTCACGGGTGAGCTGGCGAGGATTTGGCAGTAGTTGGTACAATATCAAACATGGTACCAAGTGCATGGACATAACATCAGTAGAAGCTATACAGAGAAATGCAGAAGCCCGTTTATCCCACATCCAACCTGAGGTTAAGATGCTTGCGGAGGGTTGAGAATGTGGCACCACTCAACTGGGCACCTCCACGATTCACACGCTTTGTGTCTTACAGTGCCTGCCATGTGGTAAACCCACTTGTAAAATTCAGGTCGTCCAGCTTGGAACACTGTCCCCAAAGAGAAAGAAACATTTCAGAAACCGACAATATTTTTTTGTGAACAATTCTCAGAATAGAATGGTCTGCCCTTCAGGGGATTGAGGTTTATCACTAGAATCTAAAATGTCTCATTTCAATGAGGAAAACACTTTCTGCTTGAGGAGAAAATAAAGCCAAAAATAGAAAAAGAAAGTTTAGATGACAAGTCACTGAGTATTTGTATCAGTAGAATCAAATGAGACATCAGCTATACTTTTTTCCCCAAAATAACTTACCATTTTTCTTTCAAACTAAAAATAACTTCACATGTGTTTCATGATTTTATAGAAGCGGGTCCTTAGTGAATATGGAATTTAAAAGCAGAAGCTAGGGGCACCTGGCTGTCTCAGTCAGTTAGGATCTCACAATTTGTGAGTTCGAGCCCCATGTTAGGCTCTGTGCTGACAGCTTGGTGCCTGGAGCCGGCTTCAGACTGTGTGTCTCCCCCTCTCTCTGCCCCTCACCCATTCATATTCTCTCTCTCTCTCTCAAAAAATAAACATTAAAATATTTTAAAAATAAAGTGAAAGCAGAAGCTAGATTAGGATCAAATCTTTAGAAGCTAAACTCCTTTCGCATATATTTTTGAAGCATCCTCAAAGTTTACTGATACTGTTTTCTCTCTTAAAACCTCTAGGAAAAACTTGTCCATTTCTTCCTCAGCTGTGATCTTTGTCCCATGAATTTCTGTAATCTCAGAAACTTGAGCTAAGAGTCTGGATTTTTTTTTCCCTCTGAAGAAGAGGGAACTGCTATGCCCAGATCGTGATCTCCCCAAAATCCCAAGACCACCAACGAGTCCGAGTCACGTATGCAAGAACAAAGGGCGTTTATTCGGGCTTAAGCTCGGGCTCCCACACCTCACCAATGCAATGGATCCGTGCTGAGAGCCCGGAACAAAGGAGGAGTAGGGTTTTTATTAACTCAAGGGCGGGAAAGGGGTGATGGACAGGGACTACGAAGTGATAGGACAAGGCGACGGCAGAGGTTGTTACGGCGCAGAGGGATTGGTGAGTTTAGAGCAAGGTGGGCCAGAATAGTGGCCGGAACATCCGGTACCTCCCAACCTCCAGTGATTGGTTTGGACACAGGGAAGGGCGGTGGCTCAAGGCTGCTGAGTCAGGCCTCAGAGACTTGGGTCTTCTAATCTCTGGGGCCTTCTGAAGCCTGTCATGGCGCTGGTTTGGTTCTTCAGGAACAAGGGAAAAGTGACTTTTCGGTTATTAGTTTCTTTATGACAGCTACCATCTTAAAAGAGCATCGTAGTACATAAGCAAGGGTACTGTTTTACAATTTTGCTTTCAGCAGAGCTCCTTGGAATAACCGTGCAGTTGATCTGCACAGCATCCCAAGGACAAAACCCGCACTCTGTTGCCCCATTGCAGTTGGGAAGATGAAGCATGAGAAGGGTAAATGACCGTGTGAGCCCACACCACCAGTAAGGGGCGTGGTATGGGTTCCCAGAGAGCACGAGACTGTGAGGCTCAGTAACAAACTTGCCCAAAGTCACTATGCCAGTAAGTGGCAGGGCTGGGTCTCAAATACATCCAAACCCTGCGCCCCACCCCGCCCTGAAGCCTGTAAAACAGCGCTCCGTGTCTCAGCCTGTGAAGATACGTTCGCATCAGCACAGGCCGCGGCGACTTTGCTCTGCAAAAGGTTTAACAGCCAAGTAACAAATCCGAGCCTTGGATCTGTGATGCACAGACTGGTCCAAAACTGTGCAAAAGGAAGAGATTCAGAGACAGTCGCAGGAAGAGCACCTCCCTTCATTCTGGAACACCGTTCACGTGCGTTAAGAGTGGGCTGGTTTTTGTTATGGCAGTTTTTTCCTCCTTTTCCCATTGTGAGGAAAAAGAAGTTACAGACTTTGCGAAGCAACACCGGAGAGTGCATCTGTTAGAACTGCTGTGCTTCCCCTCATCACGGACGCTGGCAGTAATTCTCTCCCCGCATATCTGGTCTCAGTTGTAGGAGTTACAGTGAGGGGCGTCCGGGGCGGCTCAGTCGGCTGAACATCTGACTCCTGGTTTCGGCTCGGGTCGTGATCTCACTGTTCGTGGGTTCGAGCCTCACGTGGGTCTCTGCGTTGACAGTGTGGAGCCTGCTTGGGACTCTCCCTCTCTCCCTCCTCCTCTGCCCCTGTCCCACTGTCACTCGCATGTACTCGCTCTCTCAAATAAACTG